TTCGGCAGAAAGCACATAAAAATCTGTGCGCAAGTTTGAAGAGTGTCGGCATCTCTTGGTCATTTTTCTAAACGAAAATATTGAAAGTTTATTGAACAACGAGAATAACAATTCACATTGTAAGTAATGGCACGTGAATATTGTGCTTTGCATATTCTCTGGGTCGTTATACTAATAATTATTTTAATGGAATATTTGATTAACAAAGCTATAAAACGTAACAATTCAAAAGAAGCTTGACGTAGAAGGATGTACGGATAACGATGTAATGAGTTTATAGTAAATTTCATTATTGGCTGATGAATGCTGAAAATTCTGGCCGAAACTTGGTGTTATCCGTGAAGAAAATTGTCGTATGAAAATAATTCAAGTAAAAGACTTTTATACATTCTTAAAGATTTAAAAATAACGATATGAAAGGAAGCTGGAAAGACGTTGGGAATGCTTGGGTCTAGAAAGCTGAGTAATGTAAAAATATATAAGAAACCACAATGTTTGCTCAGACCACCAGAAAAGTTTGTTGTCTGACTTGTGATTCAGCTGTTAGAGACTATCCAAGCTACTTCACGTCCTTTATGAAAAGGTTCGAGAAACAATGTCTTCCGGCATTGCTGGCAAACCTCGCTTCAATTTTGCTACAGTTTTAGGAAGTCAAATGATCAGAAAAAATCAAAACAAATTTTAGTCAAGTGCTGCGAGTGCATACGTACTTACAATTTATGATGCTACTTAATACACGCTTGATTTAATCGTCTTGTGAACCACGATTTACGGACTGAATGTTTGTCTGCCGGTAAAGTCGAGAAGAACAAACTGATGGTACGAAAAGAGGAGAGAGCAAAAATGTGCAAGATGTCCCTGAGGGATCACTTAGAAGATCAGAGAGCACAAATTCAACAACGAACTCGGTTCCAGGCGCCATTTCTGCTTTCTAAGACGTCAAGAGAGGAATAACCAGTTATGTGGCTCGCCTGAATGACAACCGATTAAGATAAAGAATTACAAACTAGTGGTAAATCACAAATATCCGGTCGGTCGTCCCGGAACACGCTGGAGTGATTCAATGGTCAAATTCCTTTTCCAGCGGTAAAGGCAATAGCAGAAAAACAGAAAATACTGGAGCAGCGGCGATTTGCGTTTATGGCGCACCCATAAC